CAATCCAGAAATAAGCTGAGGGCCGGGAGGGCATTTCAGACTTATGTTGTGGGCTCAGGAGTAATCCAAATATAAGTTGAGGGTCGGGAGGGCATTTTCAGACTTATGTTGTGGGCTCAAGGGGTAATCCAGTCTGATGACTGTGGGCGCAGTATGCATGTTGTTATATATTTGTATGTTGGGTACTTTAGGGGAACTCACTAAGCTTTGGTTTACAGTTTCATTTTATGGATTCAAATACATCAGAGGACAGAGGCAAGACGAATGTGTGATTATGCATATCTTCTTGGATTTTTATTTAACTTATGATTTTGGGATACTCTGATTTATGATTTTGATTTTTGGAAACTATGTTTTTTATGTAATTTATGGATTTTGAGGTGGTTTTAAAAATGAAATTTTTTTCATGATTTTTGGGATGTTACAAGTTACGCATCGATAACTTTGAAGTTTAGCTTCGGCTTGAAACCAGTCAGTCAGCTGAGGGAATAGTAGTTTGGCTTGGCTAAGTAATTGAGGAGGTTTAGAGGGAAGAAGGAAGAAAATGCGGCGAAGAGTAGGGACGGAACCGGGGAATGACAATTTTCACGAAAGAAGTTATGCGCCGATAACTTTGAAGTTTAGCTTCGGCTTGAAACCAGTCAGTCTGAGGGAACATTAGTTTGGCTCGACTAAGGAATTGGGGAGGTTTAGAGAGAAGGAAGAAAATGCGGATGTTTCTCACAGAGGATAAGGTAGAATCAGAGAAGACGAATCGAGAGATGAGGACGTAAAAACCTGATTGGAAGCAAGAGGAAGTGAACGATCAAAGTTGAACAAAAGCCCTCAAATTCCACAAAGGCGGTGGAGAATATAAGCGCGGTAGTGTAATTGGGTTACTTAGGTTGTGGAGGGAGCAAATATGGTTATTCAAAGCAGGCGAGGGAGTAAAATAGACAATCTCCAAAAATCTTGTGGCTAAATTCTGAAGGCCATAGAGTTTATTGTTCCTAAGTGTGTGTGTGTGTGTGTATATATATATATATATATATATATATATATATATATATATATATATATACTGCTAGCCGCACGTGCGGCGGCGATGAATAATTTTCAAACAGCGATTAGATTTTCTTCTGATGAATAAATTCGTGACATTAAATAGTTTCTAACTAAAAATATGTTTTTTTAATGGTAAATAGAAAATGTAATGGCTAAAAAAATAACCAAATAAATCAAAAATAATAATACTTTTTGAAATGAACTATGAAATTTTTAGTATTTTAATACAGCTCGTGACTTTTTATCATGAAATCACTTTTTATTGTTTGTGTTAAAGAAAACTTACAAAAAATATTATATGAATAAAATTCTCTTATAAATATAAATATGCGTTGTTATCAAAAATTTAAAAATATATTTAATACTTTAACAAAGATCATGACCTTTATCAAGAGTCTATTATAATTATCAAGAATTTCACATTAACCGTCATTAGAGTTTTCCATAGTTTGTATTTTATTTATTATTTATATAAAATATTTTGCGGCTTCAAAACATTATTATATAGTTTAATGCAAGATATGTTGTCACGTGTTTTTTTCAAAATATAAGGATTATATAACATTGATTGTTAAAAAAAATTATATATCATTGAGTATACTCAATAATTACGTTTTAAAATCGTTGCGGTCACAAACATATATAAGCTTGTTGTTTTTAATGTAGAACTTATAAGTATAAAATGACTTCCTAATATTAAATTAAAATGTAAGTAAAAACTTTATTATTTAAATAATAATAAACAACAAAATATGAATTTAATTATAGTCCAATTATCACTTAAAAGTGGTATTACCAATTTCATTAAAATCAACGTAATTATTATAAAATAATATATATATATATATATATATATATATATATATATATATATATATATAAAAGAATATTTAATTTATTAAATGATTAGAAATTTAAATAACGATATTAAAAAGACAAAAATATTATCTAAAGTTTAATAAACCTTAACAGTAAAAATATAAAATTTAAGAAACCTAAGAGTTAATTGTATAGTAATATTGATGGACACAGTTTTTTATATTCTCTTGCCTAATCTATTCTTTTTAACTACTAAAAATATGGTATCTTCGTTTCTTTAAGTCGCCACCGATCATGAGATACGATGATCTCTTTGCTTTTTACCAAGAGTATTTAAAAATCCATAAGTTGTTTGTCTCGTATTTTAAGATTGAACTTAAATCCAACTTTTGGTTATCATATAAAAATATAGATGTTTTCTCTTTTATTTTTCATTATTATTAACTGTATCTTAAAAATATTAATCCATTTGGGGTAAAAATTGAATTATAAATCACAATATTTGGTCTGGTTTTTCAAGGCTAAGTTTCTACTTAAAGATTTTGTCCGAAATACAATCTTGAAAAAAAAAAAAAAAAAAAAAAAAAAAAAAAAAAAAAACTACAGCAATCATACGATTTAAATAAAACTCATAAATCAAAAAGCAATGAATAGCACGATTAATGATTTTGAACCATAGCAATTTCCAACCAAAACAATAATTTAGTATTTTCTTTTTATTCACATTAAAAAATTAAAGACACACATCTGCACATCTACTTTGGCCACAATTGTCAATATTTTTCCTAAACAATTTATCAATCTATTCAACTGCACATCTACACATACATATACATACCCCCTGCATACATAGATACATATACATACATAAACACGTGTAAAACTTAAGCTTTTTCTATCTATTCCACATCATTATTATAATTGGTCCATGGCAACTTAGTTGGGCCTGCAAAATGCAAAGGAGATAACAATGAATCCATTTGGCCTCTTCGTATCCTTTTTAGACTTTCATTCTAGGAGAATCACTTACTTCCATCTATCCGTTAAATTGATCTATGACAGTGTGAAGATTATTAGTGATCCATGTCAATTAAATGGACATTTCACGTATTAAAAATGGAGATTTTCTTGTTGCTCAAATAATCTTACACTATGTGTACAATTTCTAGGAGTTCGGGATAGATATAGAGAAAAAAGGAGTGAAACTTATAAAATGGTTTATATCAACGTTTAAGCAGCTGCAAAACAGAAAATAATTATCGAAACTTTGAAGAGTTCCTCAAACAATATTACAATAAAATATGGAGTTTTGGTTTGCAGATTAGATCTGAAAGGTTAAAAAATAGAGAACACCTAGATTGTTAATAATTTACATAAAAACTTGATACATTTCAATATGCATAAGCTTTTTTTGTCCCATTTGCATACATTTCAAAAGAAATGATTATTAAAATCTACATAATGTCAGTTAATGTTGATAATGTTGATTGTGTCTGAACTGGACGACAAAAAATAAACCCAAATCAAGAACAATAATAAACCCAAAACATTGAAGTAAAAGTACCTGGTTAAATTTGACATCCCATTTATGAAGTAGAGAGAGTGAGGGAGGGTAAATCAAATCTAAAATCAAGTGATTTAAGAGCATGGCCATAAAACTGAAGTACAAGAGTCGCTAGATACAATAATTCAAGTTGAGAAGACAAGTTTTCAACAGGGTACAAAACAAATAAAAAGTAACTTCAAACTTGATAAAAAAAATATGCTGCAAAAACATAAAAAGAAACAATGTTTCTTCGGCAGAGTTTATGAAACACTTTTTTTAAACTTCAGTTAGACTGATCATGGTTACTGAATGTATCCTTAAAAGTTGGAGCTTCTTTTGACTTTGATTCAACAAATCATTCCTAGCCAAATAAAATTTTACTATTCCTGCGCAAACATCAAAAACAGATCTGTATTAAACAGGTCTGCTGGAGGTATGTTTGTGGCCATTATATGGTAGTATTCGAAGATCAAGATAAAATGGAATTGTTAAGAAGCTAATAATTTTCTTGCTTCCAAAAATCAAATTTTTTAATATGAAGAAAACCATATGACAATACCTAAATAAAATAAAAAGAGAAATTTTCAACATAAACAGATTCAAAAATTTTAAAATTCTTGGATGAAATCATGTAGGCTAAACAAGATTCCCTAAACCAGAAACATCAAACATCAGATTTATCAAGAAGCAAAGAAAGTAAATTCAACAAAAACATATGTCATACTTCCTCTTTCAAGAACGATTCCATCAGGTCCAATATTAAATCAAACTGAAAAGCAAATATCTTTTTTTCTGATCTATGTTTAAGTTAAGAGTATAAAGAAATCGAACTAAACCTTTCTTTTTCCTATGTGTGAATGTGACGACCAACCAAAGAGTAAGAAGTGGTGGTATGTTTTATAGAGATACAGAGATAAAGGAAGAGAGAAAGACGATGGTCCGGTGATTATACACGGTGGTGCAGCGAGAGAAGATAAAATATAAGGGCCATCTGAGTTGGGGTGGAATATGTGAAAGCTAAATTCGCAGAGTCAAAGTTTATGTCATTCGGGTTTAAAAGATATAGCTACACTGTATATATAGTACCGTAAGTATGTTGTGATTGGTCAAGTTTACTTCGTATGGATCCCCACCAATTTTTTAATCACAACCATTCAAATAAAACCATTCAAATAAAATCTAATGGATTAAAATCAAGCTCCTTGTTTTGTTTTTAAGACTTTAGTCTTAAAAACTTTTAGATTTCTATTATATATACATTATAAAGTAGTAAGATAATATATATATATATATATATATATATATATATATATATATATATAATAAGGATTTTATAAAATAGATTATCAGCATACATTATATATCGTCATCCATATAAAGTTAAAGAACCGAAGAATGTAGATGAAGTGGAATGTGGGAATGTTGATTTGAAAATTAAAGCTAAGAAAACTAATAGTATGGTTTTGTACAAGCGATAATTAACAAAATGCTACTCAAGTGGTATATTGGAAAATGATGGTTCAAGTATTAATGTTTTCTAGGAAGGATGTTCATTGTATATGTAGTGAAGCTAGTAATAATGTTTCAGTCTTTACTTTTTGTCTATCCCTCTTGACAACCATCTTGCTCCCTTTCCCTTCCGAAATCGGTCCTTTTTACTGTTGTGACTTTCCCTTTTCCTTTCCTTTTCATCTGTTACATGTTCTTTGCTCTTTAAAACAGCTTCTGCTTCAACCTTCCTTGTATTTGCATCATCAAGCATCAGTGGATCACCACTTGATGTACCTTCCTATATAAAACACAAAACACAGAAAACCTAAAATCATGATACGCACACAACAATGAAAGAAAGGTAAAAAACCAAAAAAAAAAAAAAGAGAGAGGTGGACCTTTGCAAGAGGTTGGGATCGTGAATCCAATGATCTACACATTGTAAATGAACCATCTTCTTTGCATACAGGTATATAGCACGCTTTGGGTAGACTATATATGTGATTTAGAACTCTGCAAACTTCATCTACCTCCTTTTTGTTGGCATCAAATAGCTCCCACCATGGAGGGTTTTCAGGAAGAGGAACATAGCATCTGCGAGCTGCAGTGTAAATAACACCACATGCCACAACGTAACTCTTCAAATGCACACATAAAGCTGTACGCAAACTGTTGAAAAGAAAAAAACAAAAAGTGAATTTAGTAGTAAAAAGAATCTAAAAATATCGTAGTTGTCATAGTTAATGGGATCCAAATTTCATACCTATCGTTTGCAATATTCCACGCTTCTTGTATCATCTGATGAGGTGCTTCGAGAACTTCAAGGTAAGCTACCATGAGTTTATGAGGAAGTTCAACATGGCAGATGTAACCCATTTCCTTCAGTACTTGTAGTTCGCATCTTTTCAAATCCGCCTCTAATTCCAAATATTTCTGTACAACATAAACATAAAGCATGATTTAGGATATAAACCGGGTTTTCAACTAAAGCACGTTCTTGACATAATATCAAATATTAAATACCTTTGAAGATGTATCCAAATGCTCTAAAGGTAGATTCTCCCTTCTACATTCCATTATGTGAAAAATATAGACGATTCTCCTCAGCGTCCTGATATTTTCCTCTAGTTTTGAGGCAAGCCAAATGCAACTAGCAGCGACTCTCTGTCAACAAGAAAGAATAAGAAGTGCATGTTAGCAGCAAACAAGGCATATATATAGCTTTATATATTATGGATGGAAATGAGTAAAAGAGACAAACCTTCACGTTGAAACTAGAAAACGATTGCTTGCAATAGAACCGATGAAAAAGAACTTGACCTGTGCCCATTACTTGTTGTGGTCTGCATGTTATGTTATATGGTTAAGAACTTCTATGATCTAATCAATATTTGTGTAAAATCACACTCTCATGGATTTTGCATGAATAAAAACAAAAAATTAAATGTAGAGTTTGGAAAGAGGATACACATTGAGTAAATTACCACTCTCTTGTATAAGATCACAGCCATATCTTCTAAGTGTCATTTCAGTGGCTTCATCTATTCCGTCTTTTCTTGAAGGTGTGTTCTTAAGTTGTTTATCTGTTAGATAGAATGTATCGATAGCTGTGTAAACCATGGTTGACTTGAGAGATACTGCAACTGTCACAAGGAAAAAATGGTTACGAAATATCAATAGCAAGGTTGAGAGATATTATTGTTCTTAAGAAAGCATGGATAACCTTATTATAACCTACCTTAAGGGTTCACATATGAATCATTGTAAATTGTAATAGATAAAATTTCCCGGATTAATTCAACAAATTGAACTATAACAAATCCTAAAAAAATATTATCACTACTAACTACTACCAATTAACAATGAACAAATTAATCGACATTCAAGAAACCCTACATAAGTTCAGCCGATTAAAATATAACAATAAATAAATAAATAATTGTTAACGAGTAACGAAGAATTATGTATTTCGAAAACAGGAAGTTGTAAATATACCTCAAGATTCAAAATCCTTTAACAGGTAGCGGCGGCAGTGAGTGGCGGTAGAAGGAGGTTATCGGAAACACGACGGGAAGATGACCGGAGGCGGGAGTGGGCAAGGCGCAGCGAAGGCTTGAGTTTCTTTTTTTCAGAGATTGAAAATTCGGGCTCCCTTTTTAAAAATGGTATTTTGTTTTCATTTGTAAAAATGGGTTCTTTTTATTTGTGGCCCCACCTAAAAACCAACGTAAATATATAATTTTATATTTTGAACCCTTCAAAATGTAAAATTATATATTTACGTTGGTTTTTATGGGGTTCAAAATATAAAATTATATATTTACGTTGGTTTTTACGTGTGGCCACAAATAAAAAGAACTTATTTTTGCGAATGAAAATAAAATCAACCTATTTTTACAAAGTCTTTCTATATTCAACCCATTTTTGAAAAAAACTCAGCATTAACCATGAAATAACTATATTTTTTTTTACGAAATCAAAAGGTTGATGTAAAATATTACCAATATACCAAACCATGTGATAAAATAGATTAATGTTAATATTGAAGTTGAAAATTTATAAACAATAAAACGACAACTGAAATCCTATCAACAACATTATACTTTGACAAACGATCGGATAAAACCCTAACTAATACCGAGTCGAGCACAACTGTTCAAACCGACTATCAATAAAGGTCCATACCACGGGAGGCTCCATTTTGGTTTCGGGTTTTACACTTACTTGGACGCATCTACATCCATTCAAGTCATATCAATGCTCAAATCATATTTTATGGTATACATTACATGAGATCCTCCAAAAATTTTACAATGACCCACAATGTGATATCATTCAATCAAGAATCATTGTTGAATTCATTGTATAGTTGATCAAACTATTTTAAGAAGTCACCAACTTATGAGAATACTTTTACAAAAAAATAATAATAATAATAAATAAATAAATAATTGAAAATTCAAACACACTTAGTTATCGGTTCAAAAGTTAAAAAAAGATACACAAAAAATAATAATAATAAACAAAAACAAAGGCTATATGGTACAATAGATAATATTTTTCCAAAAAAAATAACTCGAATATTCAACACACTTAAATGGTTGGTTCAAAAGTTAAAAAAACGAATCACAAAAAAAATTATAATAAACAAAAACAAAGGTCATATGATACAATACACATGTTTTGTAAACATACTTCCAAAAAAAATTGATTTGGATTTTAAAGATATCTTCCATAGATAAAGACGCAACAAGAATAGTGGTGGAGAATGGAAATAAAATCATATTTGTCATCGGTGACTCGAAATCTGAAATTTGAACTCGTGATACACCCCAAAATAGAGCTTTGTAATTTCTTAAGTAATCTTTTTTCTTCATCTTATTCCAAACCTCTCTCTCTCTCTCTCTCTCTCTCTCTCTCTCTCTCTCTCTCTCTCTCTCTCTCTCTCTCTCTCTCTCTCTCTCTCTCTCTCTCTCTCTCTCTCTCTCTCTCTCTCTCTCTCTCTGTGTGTGTGTGTGTGTGTATATATATATATATATATATATATATATATATATATTAACCAATAAATATGATAAGTGTCGATTAATAACCATAAGTTTAAAAAAAACTATTAAGTTATAATGACATAAATTATAAAACTCTTGAATTATATATAGTAGAAGTTTCAAATAAATTTGGTGCAAGTATTTGTACCGTGATTGTTATAGATATATAGATATATATAGGTATAGATGTTTTATTTTATGTCTTTTAACGTTTAAAGTTTTAATATGTTTTGATTAACTTATTTTTAATTTTAATCTACAATATTAAATATTACATCCGTAATGATCATAGCTATTTACATAATAATTTAATCATTTTTTATATAATAACAATTGTTTTTGGTGGCAAAACATGACCGATGATTAAGTTACATATCATCAAATGTTGTATGACGAGATAGAAACAAAATACGGAGTATAGATTTAGTTTATTTCAGTTTGATAATAAAAGTAGTCAAAAGGCTATTGTGAACAAATTTTTGGTCATTTTCTCGTTTAATTCTACAAATTAAAATCCAAATATAACATACCAAACTATTAACTTTTCTTGTTTTGCGTCACCATTAATCTATTTAAAAAGTAGCTGGTAAATTTGATGTTGAATTGGAAGCCGTAACCATCTTTTGTTTTTTAATAGTCACCAACATAAATAAACAATTCAAAATGTTGAACATCTTAATTAAAAAAATCATTACATTTTGAGAAAATACCGATATTCGTTATCGAAGCTTTCCCAATAATGAAGACTAGGAAATAACCAAAAATGATAAATTTGATGCAAATTAACCAAAAAGTGATGATAGGAAATAACCAAAATTGGTCAAAATGTAATGCAATTTCACAAAATTAGAGGTGCACATGCGAACGGTTTAAACAGTTGTCCATAAACAGTCTAAGTTGCATGATGCAATATAGTCTTGATTAGGGGTGATTATAATTTTATCAAAGTTGGACTATACATGTGCCTAGAAAGAATGTGCAATGATGTCACTATATCAATAAACAACAAATGCAAGAGAACTAACTATTTGAACAAGGGATGCAAAGTCTCTGATGTATTAACAGGATTCATATGGAGGTGAAAAGCACCACATGGAAATTTTCATCATGCTAGTAGTGAGCTTGTGGATTCAATTTGTTCATCACCACTTTATATCTTCTTTCTTGTCACATATATCAATCTAAACCCCAAGTCTGAAAATCAACATACAAAAAATTGTCATTTTGGATTCACACAAATCCCATATGCATATATGCAAACCATTTATTCATTAACATACCTGAATTCTGCCATCAGAAGAGCCAGCAAAGAGCATTTCTCCATCAGCATCTGATGCCATGGATGTGATTTTGGAATTTTTAATGGAAGCAACTTTAGTTAGCCTTTCCTTCAACCACACCTCAATAGTCCCACTTTTTGTAGCTCCAAATATGAAATCATTATTCACAGCCAACAACTGAATGTCAAATCCCGTTGATAATGATCCTATTACACCTCTGTTTGATAGAGAGAATACCTACCATATTGCCAACAGTTTGGTGATTAAGAGCTTTATAATGTTAATGAAATTAGTAGTTTTTATTTTATAGTTTTTTACTACCTTTCCTGCAATTCCATCTATTGATGTTCCACCCACAAACAGAAGATTGTCTTGAATATATAGCGAATGGATTGATTGTTTACCCAATAATTTTCTTGCTCCTGCGTAAAATGTTGTTGATGTGTTTTTTCGCAAATCTACTTCCTGATAACAAATTATATGTGATACAGAGTTTTGAAATGTTTTATTTGTGGGGAAAGAGAATCTAGGTTTGAAATTATATGTTATTACCTGTATGTTGAAACCACTGCAACCACAATACAGTTTATTGCCATTCAAGGCAAGGCTTCTAACAGTTTGTTTGATGTTGAGGTTCTTGATAACTCCAGACCATCCATAAACCTACACATGATGTAATTTAGTCAGCACTTTGACTTTGTTATTCAAGACTGGACAAGCTTTCTAGGGCTATTCTGTCATGTCATGTTTTGTGTAACAAATGGGCTTAAAGGTCTTTTGAGTTTAGAGATTTAACCTTGACTCCAGCACTTTGAGAGAAAAAATATGCAAAATCTGCATCAGCTACCAACCCACAGACAGTCTCTTTAACATCATGGACCTGAATACAATGGATTCCTTCTTGTTTGATTACCCATACCTGGTGAAAAAATATAATTTGTTAAAAATGGTGAAAGTAAGTTTTGTTTAGAAAAGCAAAATAAAATGAAATGATAGGCATACCCGTATTGTTTTATCCAAGGAACCACTATAGATTTTATCACTTGAAGGTGAAACATACAGGCATGTGACAGCTTTTGCATGATCACGAACCTCCTGAATCAACCTTAACGCCTTTTTACCACTATCCCAAACCTAAATATATATATAAAAAAAAAAATTAATACCAATCACTCAAAAATTTATGAAGATGAAAGTACATTGCTATTTCTACACACCTTAATGGTTCCATCAGAATGGCTGCTTATTAGTCGACCTTTTATGTTAACCAAAGATGGAACCTCTCCATTCATTGATGTATCCAGCTCAAATCCTTCTGAATAACTCCACATATCTGCCTAGAATTCAAAGAGTCAGGAAAGATTATGTTAAAATGTACACATATTGAAGGTTTGTACTCACTGCATTGACAGATGGCAAATTCATTAATGTTTTCATTATGTCACTGACAACCACAGAGCTCCTCTTGAGCTTTTTCAAGGTTTTGTACAAGCCTTTAGCGTAGCCACCAAGTTCAACAAGTGCACCTGAACAAACAAATTATCAGTACAATTGTTTTGTCATGTCATGTCTAATATAGAACAAGGTCTAATTGTGGAGCTATGGTTGATTTCACCTGGATCACTAATGAAGCTTCTCAGGGCAACGGTTGCCAAAATCTTCTCTTCAAGATTCTTAGAGGATTGTAGTATGTATATGAATTGGTCAAGCAAAGCCTTCCGGGCAGCATCTCTAACACCTGTGTCGGGCAGATTGTAAAGCATGTATATGAGCCAAGTGGCTATGGAAAGGCACTTCTTTGTCATGTCTATGGAGTTGCTCTTCAGACATTCTTCTAAAGCATTAAATATAAGACCCTTTTCATGGTTGCAAAGTACAAAAGCTATCCTTTTCTCCCAACAATTTGCAGCTATCTCCTCTTCCTTGTCCTAAAATAAAACATGAGTTTTTTTATCGAATAGATTTTGTAACTGTAAGATGAAAAAAAAAAAAAAAAAAAAAGAACAAACCATATTCTCAATTGGTTCATGTTCGTTAACTTTGAGATTTTCTTTCTTCACAGAATCTTCATAAGGTTGATCAAATCCTGCAAGCTTGAGTAACCAGGCTTCAGTAAGAGACTTCCCTGAAGCACTAAGGTGGCCTGAAAGAGATGACAAGGCATCAAGAGCTGCAAGTTGTGAATTTGGGAAATCTTTTTTTGGGAGGGATTCAATAAGTGTTTGAATCGCTTCCTCTCGATAAATGCTCATTTTTCTAGGCTCAACCTACAAATAAAAGAAAGATTTTGTTAAACATGACTCAAGTTGCAAGCCTTTGTTGATGGATAACTTGAAATGATAAAGATGTTAATGGCTAACCAGGAGATCAAGCTGAAGAAGAAGGGATGCAATGACAGGCTGTTGCTCCATTGGAGCATTTTGAAGATAGACTAGAAGAGTATGCATTGTGCTACATGCTCCTTCATCCTTTATTATTTGCAAAATCTGATTGCATAATGTTCTCCTGAAAAAGCCCTAACAAGATTAGGTAATGTCCTAATCGTAATATGAAAAAAATGATTCATGACAAAGTACTACAAAAGATGAAACGTACCTGTTTAACTGAACTAACTCCCAGAGAAATTCTATACACAGGCCTCTGACATATTCATTTCCAGCATGAAATAGTTCAAGAACATAGCACAAGTCAATTCTTGTTGCTATTAAATTCCTGCAACTTCTATCTGCATGGATGCAACACAGCAAGATATACATAACAGATTGTCGTGTATCCACTCTCTCTAAACACATAACCAATGAAGGCACTGCATTCACAGATATAACACTCAAAGCATTAGAATTTCTACTAGTCTCATCTCCTTCGATTAAAACCTGAGCCACTAACTCTACAGCAGCATCCTTTGGATTCATCACCAGTTCAGAATCCTTGGATTCTTCATCTTTTTTACATATGTTTTGAATAATATATGGAACTAAGTTAAACTCTGAGAGCTGAGAAAACGAGGGTTTCAGAAGGTATATAAGAACAGCAGCCTCGGATAAACCGTTTTGTAGTAAAGCAGCTAAACATTCAAGATCAACATTTGTTAGAATCTCCCTGAGTCTTTCATCAGCTACTAGTAACTCAGATAGAATGTAAACTGTTGTTCTTAAAACTTCCCTGCTTAAAGAAGCTGATAGAACATCAATGAATCCATTCACTGTTGTTGAAGTTGATAAACAAGCATGGACACCTGAATCAGCATTTGACTCCTTCCACATCTTGGAAATAGTCAAAACTGCTGTTTCACATTCTTTCAAATCTTCTGAGGTGCAAAGGCATGTAATGAATGGTTTTAAGCCACTGATGATTGATTCCACAGCAGCTTGAGATATCACACTTGTTGGTGACGTGGCGATTGTAGCTTGCATGAATCTATTTGGTTTGAAATTGTTGGAATCATATGGATTTGATGTTCTTGATTGGATTTGTGACATTTGTCTTAAAGAAGGGCTCCCATGGGAACTTTGTGGTGTTGCAGGGTATGATAATTCTTGTGCAAGATCTGGATGTTGTTCTTTCCATGAGGTGATGAGTCTTTTCAAGACATAATTTGTTTTTGGGAGTGAATTGGCTGAGAGAGGTTGTCTTGTGATTGGACATGTTGTGTTTCCTCTCTTCATCCATTCTTCAATGGCTTTTCTTTCGTATGTTTGACCTGTTTCTAGGGTTACTGGATCACTGAAAATATGGCTAGTTATGGGACATACAAAATCTTTTGGTGGCCTTGATTGTGTAGAAGATTGAGGAGAACCAAAGTTTGGGCTTCCATTATCATATTCTCCATGGAAGCTGAAATTATTAAAATAAAAATTAGGACAAAAACAACAATACAAAAATGACTCATAGTTAGTTACCTTTTATCTGATGTCTGAGTCTTCATATTTGCAATACTAGAATTTCGTCCATGTCCAACTTTTGTCCTAACACTTTTCTTATGTTCCTAAGCATTAAAGCAACAATTAGTAATAGCTAATAAGCCATCAATTTAGAAAAGGTTTTTTTTTGTAAGTCATAACTTTGAGACATACTCTAGATTCATTATCTGAGTCTGCTGAGCTAATACTGAGATCATGGTGCACTAATGGTGAAGTAGGCAAAGAAGTGGCGACTTTATAATCCATTGATCGATTGGAACGTAGGGTTGAGGTAGATGTGACCTTATTATTTCCATCTTGTTTTGGAGATGAAACTTTTGGGGATGTTTTACTTGAGATTACAGGAGAGAACATCTGAGGTGAAAATGGTCGATTCTTTTCCTTTAATGTGTGTCCATTAGGTCCAGTTTTATAATTATTGTTCATTTCAACACTTGGAAGTGATTCTATGCTTTGAATTCCATCTTCATCCTGTTCATACTCAGATTCATTGTTTTCCTCTGGTATTCCCTCCTGTATGTAAAACAATAATATATATAACTTATGGATATTCAATAAACTGATCAATTTTGAGTGGCTATCTTCTTAGGGGCTATTTCTTTTTTTCCCCCATTAATTCAGTCCTACATGGGTAAAGTGGCTGATTGGGTAATGAATTCTGTATGAATAACATGCTGCGTACATAAGGTATGTTCTTTTCTGGACCGAATAAACCGTCTGAATGAGACTAAATGATCATTTTACCCTTGCACTCCAAAAAACATTTTACAATAATCATCAATTTTAACTTTAATCTTTTAACGTGAGGGTAGTCAGGAGGAAAAGGAAGGGCAAAGAGTTAAGTCATTATGTCCAGATTAAATACAAGAGAAACAACCATGTATAGTTGTCGAGCTTAAGGCTTAACCCATTAAGCCCATTAAGTCAAAAAGAAACAGCCACTTACTTGAATATCCCATGCAGCAGAATCCTCTAGGTTCTCAGAGTCGATGTGAGTGGCACTGTTCCAATTCAGATTACAGAAATGCATAAGTTTTATTTATATGTGAAAGTTGAATAAGAAGAGAAAGAAAAAAGATAAGAAACTAACCTGGAAGCTTCTCTAGAATTCTTATTAGGTTTTAGAACTGGTGAGAACCCTGCACTTTTAGGCAATATGGGACCAAATCTCACATAATCTGGAATTTTGCGACTCACTTCATGCAAAGGAGTCATAGGAGCCTCTGCAATTGGCATCATAGGAATTGCTTTCTTACTAGTTTCAGGATCATGATTCATGCAATCTTTGAAGTAATTCGCGTAATTCCTGGTATTCTCATCCAAAGATTGCCCATAATGTTTTTCCAACTTTTGCAATTTCTCTGCTTGATCTGGCCTCATAGACAAAACCAAGGATTCATTAAAATACTGATCAAAATCAGCAGTGAATGATAAATCACCTGAATCTGGAATCATGTTCATCATAATCCTATGCCTTTCCTCTGAGTACCAACCAACAATAGAACTCATGTGAGGGAGAAACAGTGTTTTCCAGATCTCAGGAGCAAAATCAATCCTTGAAAAGAAGGGGTCAACAGAAAACATCTCAAGAACATGAAGAACAGCATTTGTGACATTGTTTCTCAACTTCCATAAGTAAGAAAGGTTAAGATGAGCCCAAGCAGAGAGATAGAAATTAGGGACACCAGCGGTTTTATCACTGGAATTTAACATAGCACAAACTTGTAACATCTTTTCTGCATGATCAAGTCTTGCCATTTTTGTCTCAGTGTTGGATGTATTAATGGCTTCCTCAAGGGTATCCATACCCCAATCCAAATTTGCCAAAACTGCTTGATCAGAATACCTAACTGCTGTGTCTTTGTTACTGCTCTCATCTTCTGCTGCTAATCTTTCACCACATTGTTCCTTCTGTAGGGCCCTTTGTCTTTGATCAAGCAACCTGTCTTGAATGAAACTCCCAATTGTGGTGATTAAGGATCTCGCTATATCATCTTGGTCCATTGAAAACCTATAGTTTCCAGCCATGATTATGTATTTATCAGAAGGACTAAAATTTTACTTTCAAAATTGGCATTAACTTAGACTTTGAGATAAATTGACGATCACATATAATCCTGTGAAAAAATTACTACACAGAGATATGTTGATGAAAAGTTATTGCAAATCCAAGTCGAATTGAGATCAAAATCAGTTCGACCTCAACTCAACCAGGTGAGTATCAATTTGTAAAACCTGAATTCTACCGATTTCTTTATGTTCAAAATTCAAATACACTGAACTAACGAAAGGGCAACTGCTAGTGTTCCTCACATAGAAAAGAAGCAGTAATCTCTGTAATCTAAACTATATTACTGAAAGCAGTTTATTCTACAAATTTCACCTACTCCACACTAATCAAACGATTAATGGTGCAAAAGTTAATCAATCAACACACGTATACATAAACCTGACAGGAATAGAGACGACTTACAGTAATGATTGCTACTACCAGTCAGTACTAGGTCATGATCCAATAAACTTCAACGAGAAGAATAAGGATTGAGTATCCAATTAAGCAACAAGTAGAAGTGTAACAATAAAAAAAAATCAAATGAAGAATACGATTGATGACGAGCTGGAAAATTGATCAACCAACGATTAGATTGACGCTCCCGATACAATGTATTCTAGAGAGAGAGGCCGGCTTCCAAAACTGCCGGCCGGCGATTGTGGTTGATGGTCAACTCACCTTATTTGGTTGAACTCAAATTCTAAAATCCGAAGTAATATACAACTCTGCTGCATGATGTACAAGCATTTAAAATAACAACTTTCTGAAACTTGTAAATATTGCTCTGGGAAAGAAATTTGGCGGGAAATATTATTTTCTTATTATAGTGAGGAGGTACCGTTAAAGACAAAAAGAATAAGCTCATTATTAATTAAAGTTTAAAATAACTAAGATACCAACAGTATAACAAAATATATAATCTGGTTATTTGCGTGTCAGGTGGTTTTTTTTTTCCTATAATTGATATTTTTGTGTGATTTTGGATTGATACCCAACCTGATTATCAATATGTCCTAAAATAGTTTTTTAATTTTTTTTTATTTATTTTCATACTTCTTTAATTAAAAAATAAAAAAAAAATCCAATTTCACTCGCTTCTTGATTCAGCATCTTCTCCACCTCAATCTTACCCTAAAACCCATCATCATCAACCTTGATGATGTGATGCACCATCTCAACGGTCAAGATCCACATCAATGCGATTGTTTACCATCTTTACGCTTCATCATCGGCTCCATCAAATACCAATGCAACTAGTAATGAAGGTTAGATTGATTTCCCCAAAATCGAAACCTAAGGCTTGGGTTGAATGCATACTCGACAATGGTAATGAAGGTTATATCGATTTCCCCAAAACCGAATTTGGCGGCGACGATGATGGTCTGAGGGAAGTCTAGCTTGTCTCGCCTCTCATTCACCGTCTCGTGTATGTCGTCTCTATAACATCCAACAACCATGTTTCATCTCCGCCTACCTTCTTTACTCTTGAATGGTGGCTTATTTGAGCCTCGATTACTACCTTCCTGCTTTCCATGGGGTTGTTTCCTAAGCTATTCTTGTAACCACATGTAACGTCCCCATTTTCAACCCAAAATTTTCAATTCAAATATATCAGAGTATAGTTACATTATGCGGAAACATGTTGCGAATGTGCGTGTATACAGTCGAACCTTGCCCTTTTTATGAGTCAATGAAGTACCTGAAAAACATTTATAATCAACTGGGTAAGCACGAAGCTTAGTGAGTTCCCCAAAATACCATATACCACAATACATATACACTGCATACACATAATGGCTTTCAGCATAAAGTTGGTCCGCTCTTAGCCTTCAGCACAAAGTTGGTCCACCCTTTTTGCCTTCAACATAAAGTTGGTCCGCTACTTGGCCTTCAGCATAAAGCTGGTCCACCCGAGTCTATTGGCCTTCAGCCCGAGGTTGGGCCGCCCTTAACTCCCCACATAAAATATCAATATATATAACATAACAGACAGCAATCCAACACTACAAACAACTAACAGAACTATCCTAATGGCATACTACATGGCAACTGTATCCTAACATACAGAAGATATATATTGGAGCACATAATATAGTGAAAAAACTCACATGGACAGTTTCTCAGAAGATTAACAACTTTCTGGGCGATCCCACTGGCGAGCAACGTGCCAAACGTGTATTAACCTATAATACTATTACTTATTAATCTTATGACAATCTGGTAATGAAAGCTAGATATTTCATTAATCCCAATAAATACCGAGAATTCTATCAAATAAGGATCAACCAGACAGGAAAACTGAGAGGCAAGACCATTTTGGCATATAGCATTTCTAAAATCCAACAACCAAGCCAACATTATCATTCTAAACACCTATCTCTTAAGTAAATCAATCAGCATTATAACTGGAATTACCGATAAATCTTGTTTATACATTCATAACAACAACTATGAATATAAATATAAGTTACACTTAAAGCGTAGTAAGTGTAACCTAACCAATAGAGAGTTTCTAGCGAAAACTGGAAAAGTCGCGGGTAGGACTCCGACCCAAGCACCCAAAACTGTTGGACCCTTTGAAAACGTAGGGCTCCACTAACTATTTCTAATAATTTAGGGAAAAACAGAACTCGAGATGAGAATCGATTTAGAGAGAGTTTAGAGAATTGTGAGAGAAAGAAGAGGGCGTAGGCTGCTATTTATAGGCAAATTTTGAGATGTGCCTTGCGCACTTCTGTTGACGTCTCTCCTCTGAAATGCTTACACGTGTCAAGCTCTCTGTGGTCCGCGTTGCCACCTTCTAGAAGCGCGCACCGCGTAAAACGTAGATTTTGTAAATTCCGCAACTTCTTCATATGAGCTCCGTTTTCGACGTTCTTTATATCCACGCGTATCTATCGACGATATCTACAACTTTCATTTAGACTCCATTGGCTAACTCTCACTTTTGTTTTTAAAGTTATATTTATATAGGCTTAGACTCTTAAAGTCCGTATAAAAATTATAACTCTCTCATACGATATTTGTTCTCGATTGTCTTTATATTGACGGATAGGTATTGACGAGATCTTCAATTCTCGTTTAGATTGTTTGTCCTAACAATCAACCGATCTCCATTATGGTTTCTGTGTCGCATACTGTTGCGCTGAAACTTCTAAAAATCATGTTTTCCTTATATGAAGTCAAATTTGGACATTCACTATATGCACGCTCTCGCTTTTACGATTACTATGACTTTTGTCAAGATTGTTTATCCTAAATAGTCCTATATCAAGTATGTCTATTTACGTCACTGACCGTTTATAATGTAAGACAAAAATTGGATGTTACAACTGGTCCGACTACCTCTTTATTCCTTCATCTCAACAGTCGACAATGGTAATTCAGATGTTTCAACCAAACAACATGTTAAATATTTAGATCCTCTTAGAAATTTAGACCTCCTAAAAATTTAGATCTTAAAAATAGAAATGCTGCCAAACAACCCCTTACCTCTGAAACACGTGTAAAATGCACAAGAACTACATTCCATCAATTTTGTAGAAGTCAAAATCCCTAAAACAGGACACAATCTCATAATTCAATTTATAGTTTTTGTCTTATAATATAGAGAAAAAATAACAAAAAAACAAAAGAAAGCAAAATTTACCAGAGGAACAAAGCTTTTCCCAACAATCCAAGCCCTCGTGCAATCAATAACATCATCTTCAAATGGAGTTTTCACCAGTAAATGAAAAAATTAAGATTTAAACAAAAAAACTAACTTAGAAGGGGGCGGGGAGATTAGTAATACCTTAGTACTTTGGATAACTCCATCAACCGGTCTTTGGCGATTATAGTGACTAACCAACATGCGAGAGAGTAAAGCAGTGGAGCAGGTGGAGGGCTAACAAAGGAAATTTCAGGCATATATCCTTCAACTCCACACGACAAAGGCAAATAGGGAAGAAGACACAACCTTGATCGATTAGCGTTTATGTGATGTTGAATAGAGAAAGAGAGAGAAAATAATAGTAGAGGATACAATGAAGCAGGAGATGGCGACAAGTGTTACATATCTTTATTAAAGTGATTGGTACATAGTAGCGGTGGAGATTGGCTCCAAACCATTTGGTATTAAAGCCGACTCCAAATCATCGTTGTTCATAAATCATTAGTAGATATAATATGCTATACAATTATATATACATATTAATTGTGGAATGTTAAGTAAATAGTAAACTTTGGGACTTAAGACTTTGGCCATAATAGTTTCTTACATTGGCGGTTTTGGTTCCTGTTCTAAACGGGGTGCATGTCTTGAACACATATTATATTCATGTGCACATCACTGTCTCCCACCGCCTCTCTTTTTCTCTCTCTCAACCTTCTACATACATCATCTCTTCCGTTGTTCTCTATTATCTAAACTAAAAAACCCTAGAATTTGGAGATCATCGCAAACAAATAGGGGGAAAGGGATGATGGTTTCTTTCCGACCTCACATTTGCATCTCGTTGATCTCACCGACCTCACATCAACTACTATTGATCTGATGGCTTGGGTAGTTTCCTCTCGAGTAGCCGTCGTGTCTGCTAGAACTGGAATTCTGGGTTTCCAGTAATGTCATTGTCGGCGTCTTCGTCACCCGGTGACCTTCTTCTGAGTCGGAAGATGAAGGCGACAGGTAACCAACGTTAGTAGTATCTCAAGGAAGGAGGTACTTGCAATCATAAGGGTGAAGTGGAAAAGGTCAATTTGAGATGCTTTGGTGTTGCGCATCAGGTAAGGCCTTCATATTAACTCAAAAAAGATCTATCGATCGTCTTCAACATCCACCGTCACACATAACATCCAGCGTCAATTTGAATCAATATTATTCCATTCCATGGACTCCCTTGAAAACATCGACGTGTTTCCTGTTATTCCAATACATACTCCAAATCCACCATAACATTCCATTCCTCTTAGGCTACAAGGCATCATGTAACAGGGCAATCTATTATGCAATTCCTGAAAGTATCCTTAGCTTTATCCTAGAATGAAAGCATTCATATCATATAACATATCAACATATATGGGTATTCTGGGAATCACTTACTTGAGCTCGGTTGATTGCACACATCACACTCCCTATTTCTTTATAAAGATATTTTAGAAATTTGTTTCTTTCAAAAGATTACCAATTCCTCAGTTTGAATTCAGTCACACCCGAGAGTGTACCTGAATCCCTTAAACCAAGGCTTTGATGTCAACTTGTAATGTCCCAAAAAATTCATAGTAAAATTTTCATTTTTAAAACAATAAATCATACAAACGAGTTGTTCCAAAACTGATCAAAGTGAATATATTATTTAAACATAAGAGTAATACCATTAATTGCCAATGCGGAAAATTGTGGGGGATGTTGTGCAGTCACGTCGGGTCCTTCCCTTTCGAACTGGAAGTACCTGAAACCATAAATATGAAACTGTAAGCACAAAGCTTAGTGAGTTCCCCAAAATACCACATACCATACATACAATAGAGATTGCTATGTGCCAACCATAGTTTTACCACTATGCCATGAGCCGTATCATGGTCTTTCATTGCCAGGCCGGGGGCCAAAACCATGGGTCTTATAGACAAGTGCCAAAAGCCACCTCCTGATGTTCTATGCAAGTATCACAGA